AAACATAAAAAAGTATACTGTTTTTTTATAAGCACTTTTTATAAGTACAAAAAGTGATAATTGAAAACACTGTTTTTGTAATTATTGAAACAGTTCATTAAAAAACAACTGATTTTAATTGAAAACACTTTTTATAAGTATGAAACAGTTCATTAATAAAAAACTGTTTTTATTAAACTGGATAAACCATATTTTTTCGAAATTGATTTTTTATAAAAAGTATAAAAACTGATTTTTATAAAACAGTTTTTATAGCAAAAATGGTAAAGTGCTTTTTTAAAAAAAACAGTTTTATAAAAACAGTTTTATAGAAACTGTTTTTGTAAAAACAGATTTTGGTTTACAGTTTTATAAACTGTTTTAAATAAACTGTTTTTGTAAAAACAGATTTGTAAAAACTGATTTTATAATTATTTAAAAAAGAACAAAACAGTTTTTTTAAATCTGGATATAAGCAGTTTAAAACAACTGTTTTTTAAAAACTGGATATTAAAAACTAATTATTTGTGTAAAAAAACAGTAAAAAACAGTTTTTTGTGTAAAAACTGATTAATTAACATATTTGTTAAAAACTGTTTAATAGAAAAAAGTGTCAAATAACAGTTTTTATAAAAACTGTTTAATAAATAAAACAGTTTATATAAAACAGTTTTTATAAAAACTGTTTTTATAAAAACTGTTTTATATAAAAACAGATTTTGTAAAAACTGTTTTTATACAAACTGTTTTAAATGAAAATTTGGTTTACTTAAACACTGTTTTGACAAAGTATAAAACTGTTATTTAGACATTATAAATCCGTTTTTTGTATAAACTCAAAGTATACTGTTTTTCTACAAAACAGTTTTATAAAAACTGTTTTTTATTTAAAAAGTACATAAATAACTTTTTTTATAAACTGTTTTTGAAAAAAAAAAGTATACTGTTTTTATAATTTTGTAAAACTGTTTATAAAAATTGTATAAAACTCATGTATCTAAAACATAAAAAAAATGATGGCCTCTCATGTAAACTTTGCAAAAAGTTTAACATGTTACTTACAATTGTAAATGTGTATAAAATATTAAACTGTATATAACTTAAATATGAGGGGTCCAATAATTTGTAATAAACAAATCATATAATTTATCAATGAGTTGACCCAGTCGATCGAAGAATCGACCAGTTGGAGCTTATCAATGAGTTGACCCCGTCAATTCGTTGATAAGCTCCAACCGGTCGATTTTTCTGGCTACGGTTTTAGCCATCGACGGACTCTCCCAAACGCATGTACTTACATTATGTCGCTACATGTGATTTAGCCCATCCATGGTTCAAGTCGTAGCCCGAAAAATCGCCCGGATAGAGCCTATCAATGAATCGACTTGGTCAACTCATTTTATAAGCTCCAACCGGTTGATTCTTCGGTCGACTGTGTCAACTCATTGATAATTATAGGATTTGTTTATTAGCAATTATTGGACCCCTCATATTAAACTTATACACAGTTTAATATGTTATATACATTTTCAATTGATAATACTTATAAAAAAATTAATCTTCTATTATAATCACACTAACAAAAAACAAAATAAATTAATGTATTTTAGATGACTGATGAACAATCGACATCGGCCGCCCAGCCTAACTTTGCACCCATGACTGAATCCGAGCGCAACAATGAAGGAGCTGTTTGGGTGACCCCAGCCGAAGTTGCTTTGTAAGTAATTATGAACAAACCATAAGTCAATTAATTTTATATACTGTCAAATAATCTAACCAAATCTCATTTAAATAAATACTCTTAATTTTTTAAAGTGACAAAGCAGTGTTTGAGGTCATAAAAAACATAATAGGAGGACACTTTCTTGGCAATTGGGCCTCCTACTCCGATATTGATCCCAAGGTCCGCGAACTATGGTGGAACCTATTTAAGGTAAAAATAAATGAATAAAGTGTAGTAGTCTAATATATAACAAATGATTAATTAATCCAATTTTTTTAATAAAGGCTCGCTATCGCTGGACTCACGCAAACGGTGCTGATATTCTTAGAGCCTACAATGCTAGGATTTCAACCTGGCTTCGGCCCACTTTTAAGCGTGCCTGAAACCGTGGGAGAAAGCCTAAATGGGTTTCGGATGAAGTGTGGACCAACCTTTGTCGCCACTGGTCTTCGGATCCAAAATTCTTGGCCAGAAGTGAATCCGGTAAGAAAAATCGGATGTCCGAGAAGGCCTTGGAGACGCAGTGGCACGGGGGTCGCAAATCCCAGAATGCCCATAAAGAAGCTCTTGTAATTGTTATTCAAAAAACCTTACACCATTACGGCCCTTGATTATACAAAATTTTCTTAAGCCTTTTTCACACCATGTAGGCTGGTCCTGAGAAGAAGAAGGTTAATATTCTCAACCTCGTCAAGCATTGCTGGACAAAGCACGGCGAGAAGTTTGAAGCCAATCTGCCACCCCGCCTCGCTGACTTCGAAGTATATAACATCATATTTTGTTATTTAGTAACATTTCAAATCTAAGTATGTAATATTTAATTTATTTTTTTAAATGTAGTTGAAGTACAACGAATCCGTTGAAAGGCAGCGTGCGGAGCGAGGCTTGACCCAGGAGGACGAGCTCGATTCTGATGCGGATGATGAGGTGGCCATTGAGGCGGCCGGGGTTTACAAGGGTCGGGTTCCGTGCTTGGAGGCTGAGGGGCAACGGATTTTGTATGATCGAAGCTCCGGCGCTTCCTCTTCTCGGTCAAGGCGGGGAGAAGACTCTCGTATGGCCCAAATGCAGCGTGAACTGGCGGAGCACGAACGACGATGGGAGGAGCAGCGGAAAAGAGAGGAAGAAACAAAAGCCCGGCTGGAGGAGATGGAACGGTTCATGCGTGCCGGATTCCAGCCTCCGCACCAGCCTTTTCCTCCCCCGTACGTATTCCACCCTGAGCAAACTCCTCAAGTTCCGCACATGGGCGGTATGGGTTTTTTCCCCAACTCCAAATACGGTGCGCCTATGATCTCCCCGAATTTCGGATCTATGTCCTTTGATTTTGCGAGTTCATCCGGAGGAGGTAGTGGTACACCAAGCCATGGAGCCCGAGGAGCACCCCGAGGAGGACCCCGAGGAGCACCCCGAGGAGGAACCCGACCCGACCCCGAAGACCCCCCCGTGAACCCAGATGAGTTTCTTGTTGATGATGATGATGAAGAAAAAGAAGAAAATCCTAATTTTTTTCATAATGGAGTCCGACGAACGGACATGTAATCATCATACATTTATACTTTGTTGTATGTCATAACATTTAAAAGTTTGTCACAATATTTATTAAGTTTGTTGTATGTCTTTACTCTTTAAAATGTAATTTTTTCTTAAAAAAAATTAGAATAATATTTTCAATAACAAAATTTTCAAAAAACATTTTTAAATTTAATTTGTAAAAATACGTATAAAAAAAGTAATTTTTAAAAACATTTTTTTAAAAAAAACTGGATTTTTTTTTTAAAACAAAAATAGTAGTCACGGCCTTATCCGTGACTACAATCCGAAATTATTATTTGTTTTTAATTAAAAACATTTTTTTTAAAAAAAAATCTTAGTCACGGTCGACAACCGTGACTAATTTCAAAAATTTAGATTACAACCGCGGGCGGTCTTTTGAAATTTTTGAAAATTTGAAAGTTTAGTCACGGTCCACAGCCGTGACTAATATTTATTTAAAAAAAAATAATAGTCACGGTCAACAGCCGTGACTAACACGTCGGAGTGGGGTTTCCGGCATGATAATAGTCACGGCCGCCGACCGTGACTAACCCGTGACTACATTTAGTCACGGTTATGTGGCGGTGACTTCATTTAGTCACGCCCATTAAGTCACGGATTTAGTCACGGCTAGCGACCGTGACTACATCTGTTAGTCACGGAAAATTTGAACTGCTGTCCGTGACTAAGTCCGTGACTACGCGCGTGTTTTTTTGTAGTGGGTAAAGCTACCAAGGCTCCAAGAGTACTGCAATCATCACCGCTAGCATGGAATATTAAAGAGTCAATACGTATTATGCTGCTTATTAGTAAATTATTCTACAACATTCATTTCCAAATGTTCTAGAGAACGGTGTGCATGTGTCGTTTAACGCTTGATTTAAGTATCTAGATAATGTGTGTGTATAGTAACTAGAAAGATGTACCAGTGAAGCGCACTTGTGAAAAAAAGATTTAAAAGTACTCATGTAGATATTAACAAGACATTACTAGAAAACATTATGTATGTCTAAAGTATGTTGGAGTTTCCATTTGGTTCTATTTCAACTTCATGAAGGATCAGATCAGAAAATTACGAGCAAAACGAGATATTTAAAACACTATTGATTGAAATCTTTTGATTGACCTTTCATAGCTCTTTTTTTCAAGAAAAAATTAAAATAAGACGGGTAAAAAAAACAATTTTTTATAATAAAAATAAACATTATTAGAAAGCAGCAATCACTTTATGAACATCAACGATGATAATATTTGTTGGAGGTATTGGTCCTATCAAGGCCTCCTTTCCATTTTATTAATTAGGCTTGCACCCCATGTTTCCGCACTACTAGGAAGAGAGCCATTACTCATTAGGAAGGAAACAAAATCCTACCAAAAGTATACATATTCCTTTCTAAATTGGTTAGATAGGAACTTACATAGGAACTTGATTCCTCTCTAAAACCTCCCTCTCTAATTTGCAATTCCTTTCTACCTTCCTTTCTAATGTTGTGGGTCATGGAGAAGTACTGAATCTTTAGGAAGGAAGATATTTCCTTTCCAATTTCCATACTAGGAAGATATTTCCTTTCCAATTTCCATACTCTTATCCTACCAACCGTATTTCATCCTAGAGAGGATATGGTTCCTTTCTAAATTTTTACTTTAATTGGACAGTAAATTAATTATGTAAAATATAATAATTATATAGAGAGGAATTTAATTTCTATCAAACTATATATACGTATACATACATATGTATACATATACATACACACACATCACACCTCCAATACAGTACATTTCCTCCGAAGATCAAATTTTATTTATTCGGAATAATTAAAATTGTAGCTGCATATTTAACTTAACGAGTACAAAATACAATTACGAAGAAAGTCTATTTAACAATACAAAGACTATTACTAACGAAAGGCATCAAGTCTCAAAAGCTACATATATCTGATTACAACTACAAAGACTAAATAAGTTCATCTTCCTCATTGAAGTATCTGATATGTTGAACTTCTCAAAGCAAGTCAGTCATTGCTTCCATTGTTCTTATGTCCTCTTAGAGTTTTGTGACTTTAGTTCTTCATGGGATATTCCTAAAAATGAAATAAAATATTGTAAGAAATTGCAATACTAAATGTTTTCAGTATGAACAACGATGTAAATACCTCACATAGAAACCAATACATGTTGTTCTGTATTCATTTTTTGTGGCAAAGTTATGTCACATGAGTTGATCCCAATTTGATTGTCATGAATAGTACACACCATCTGTAAGGAAAATTGATTTTTTTTTACATCATTAACATAATTGTCTCAAATGCTAATACATCACATTTATTCAAAGTGGTGCTGAACAATTGGACTGCAGAAATGATTCCTTCATCACATTACCTTGTTTTTCATTAAGTAAAGGGGCTGTCATAAAAACACTCCTCCAGCAATCTGTAAACACAACAATCATCTCCTAAAGGGACACTGAAAGATATCACGAAGCCTGTAAACACAAAAGGGACAGTGAAAAGGGAACAATTATCACATCAACAGTCCTCTTACAAATTTATACTCTGTATATATACTTTTCAAAAGATGCAATTTATAGAAAATAGGAAAGGTGATTAATTGAAACGAGTATCAAATCTTTTACACACGTACACTTGGGAACAAAAAAACAGAAAATGTTGAATACAACTCACTCAAACATCAACATAAAGCGTGCAATTTTCATTTGTATATAATATGCTCACATCTAAGCAAACAGAGGGTCTTTATATCATTTTCTTCAACCCATGGGGATCTCGTATCTCTATTCTCCAGCAAATGGACACAACTTTTCAATGAGAAGAGCAGTCTCATCTTATACATGCAAAAACGACATTGAATAAAAATTCCCTATGAAAATCTGCCAATTTTTGTTTATTGCATACCTTGAACATAAATTTACTCTTAGCACAGAATAAAAATGACAATTCACAATCGATAATGAACCTTTTTGTTTCAATTTCTCCATGTGCATTCTTCCCAAACAACTGATCTCGATACATTTAAGCTTGGTTTTCGAAACCTGATGATTGATTCAACAAATCAGCGAACATATATTCCAGACTTCTGTATACAATGATTGAACGATTTTAGATTTGAGAAAGAAAGCAAACCTTGAAAGTTGGAAGAGCCGAGATGGGTTGCAGTTGCAGCGGCAGAAGTCATTTGTTGGAGCAGAGTCTGGCCGAGATTGGTTGAAGTTGCAGCGGCAGATCTAAGTCACTTGTGGGAGCAAAGTCTGGACGAGACGGAAATAAAACCTAGTGTCCCTGGAGAAATAAATTTTGGGCCTAATAATTGGAGAGGGAAGCATTTGAGAGCCTGAAATTGTGGAGGGAAGTTTCTCAAAAAAAAAATCAACGGAGGGAGCTAATGAAATTGGGAATTTCTACGGTGCCTTTAAATTAACAAGGTACCGGTACCTTTGAGTATGGTGACCAATCAAATTATTTCCTGAAGCCACGTTAGCATCGTACAAGTATTACTAAATTCTGTTTTATTATTTACATTTCGGCCCCAAGAAAGAAGTAAATAATCAATAGCCTCAATACTAGGTCACTGACGTTACTGCCGTGATTTCCACAAGAAAAGCCAGTCCGCTATTTACCTTTCTAAGGCAAACCCAGAGTCCCAGACGCAGAGAAGGGAATCAAACAGTACTTCGGTGCTTCCAATTTGTGAACAAGGCCCGGCAACGGAAATGATGGTATGTAATCAACTCTCAGACTTGTTTATTTTTTTATATTCTTTTCACGGTTGAAGGATTGTCGACTTAGCGGCGGAACCAGGCCGGGGCGAGCCGCTGTCGGCGCTCCCTTCGCCGGAATCCTGTATATATATCTATTATATCTTCCAGCACCCCTGAAGCTTTTTTCTTTTTTTTTAGTCTGCAGTGCCGGGGGTAAGTCGTCTAATGTATCCACCGAGCTAATGAACGAAGTCATCTCATTTGTGTTTCTAATGCATCTACCGAGCTTTGAGATTTTTTTCAGAACCTGATTCGCTGGTAGGAAGGTGTTTAAATCCAAATATTATCCTGATGGTAATTTCTTAACCTTTAAACTAGGAAATAATCCTTCTTTTGTTTGGCAAGGTATTTTTCAAACACATGATATTATTACGAAGGGCTAATACTGGAGGGTTGGGAGCGGGGCTTCTATTAATGTGTGGTCCGGCCCATGGCTACCGGACTCGGAGTATCCTAAAGTTGTGTCTACTGTGATTCTGGCCTGGGAGCAAATCCGGGTGGAAAATCTACGTCATAGCCCGGGTTTGGGATGGGATTTGGACCTCTTGAATGATTTATTTGAAGCCAGGGATGTGCATCTTATCCCAGGCATCCCGCTCGGTCATCGTTCAATCCCGGATACTCTTTGCTGGAGGTGGGAATCCAATGGCCGGGTTTTTGTGCGGAGTTGCTATCAGCAGCTTGTTGGGGAGTTTGGGGAAGGGGCATGGACGGGCTGGACCTCAATGTGGAATTGGCAACTGCCAAAAATAAAAAACTTCTTCTGGCAGGTGTGCTGTGGTTTCTTGCCAACAATGGAAAATTTGCGGGGTAAAAGAGTGGACTGTGCGGTTAGTTGCGGTCTTTGTGGTGCTGCAGAGGAATCTCCGATGCATCTTTTTGTTCGGTTTTCTGAGGCAATGAAAGCATGGAGTGCAGTGGGCTGGAGGTGGTCAAGAGCATTGGCTGGCAGTTTTCTGGAGCAGGTGGAAGCGGAGTTTCGGGCTAAAAATAAAGAGGATTTGTGTAAGTTGATTTGGGGTTGCTGGGGCTTTTGGTGTGAGCACAACAACCGGGTTTGGAATGGGGGTCGGGTGGAAGCCAGGGCTATTTTGCAGAAAGCAGCAGCTTTCGTTGCTGGATGGGAGAAGGTGCAGCAGTCTGGGGGAGCTCCAACAGCTTCTGTGTGGGGTGGTGCTTCAGTTTGGAGGCGCCCTGTGGTGGGGAGAGTGAAGCTCAATGTTGATGCCACTGTGAGAAGCGTCAAGCAACTGCTACGGTCTGGGGTGGATTCTACGGAACGAGGGGGGAGGGCTTTCTGACCGGGCTTCAAAGTGCTGGCAAGGCAGCTTATCTCCATGGGAAGCCGAATTGATCGGTGTAAGAGAAGCTCTTACTTGGAGTAAACATCAAGGATGTGATTTTGTGGATGTCGAGTCCGACGCTTCTCGGGCTATTTCTGAAGTCCTGGAGGGCTCAAGTGTTTCAGCAGCAAGTTTGGTTCCAGGTGACATTCGAGATATACATTCTTGGTTTACGGACATCTCTTTTCATTATATTCGGCGATTTGCGAACAAAGTGGCACATGCGTTAGCTAAAGCCGCTTGTTCTATGTCTGAGTGTCAGTTTTGGTTGTGTTATCCTCCTAATTTTATAACTAATGTATTGAATGCCGATTTTATTAATGATAATTGAGTTTGATTTTGCCAAAAAAAACAAGTCATCTGATTTATCCGTCGTTCTTGCTGTTGTCGCGGGGAGACTAAAAAATAGAAGAATTTGTACTGCGTGCTGGCTTGCTGCGCCTTCGGTGAAGCTGTGCTCCTCTGTGGTTTACTTTTAATATGTTCTTTTATACAGTATAGTTCAATAAATGTATGTCTAATGTCAAGCTTTCAGATTAACATTTTAAAGCATGTTAAAACTAGTTAATGACTATAAAACTTTGGCGTGTAGCGGTGTAGGTTTGTACATCACTTTGGATGTATGAATTAGGGTAATAAACATAAACACTCAAATAAAGAATCAAAAGCTCATGTACAAGCAGGGGCGGATCTACCTTAGGACCAGTGAGTGAAGATGATATTCTTTTCGTCAGCCAGTCGTCTCATTGCTTTCCAGTCTTGAGACCAAGAGCCAGTGTAAGAAGTCGAATGAAGATTAGAGATAGCACCAAGAACTGAATCAGTTGAGTAGAGGAAACCAATTGCTAAGATGACCAAGCCTTCTTGATTTCTCATTACAGCTCCTCCTGCTTTTTGAGGTAAAAAAGCTGCATCCACATTAATCTTATACTTAAAAGTAGGCTTAATCCATTTGACCAGAATGAAGCGATGAGAGTATTGTTTGAAATTGGGATATATAAGAAGTGTTTCATAAAGAATAGCATTGGTCTTCGCCCATTTCTGAGTTTTAAATCTCCAACACCAGTTTCTGAGATAGTTTTTAATTCCGTTTATGATTAAATTGGAAGAGACAGTAAAACGCTCATCATCCCAGACCATCTGAGCATAGCATTTCCATATATGCCGAGAAATAATCCCCGGAAGGCAATGTTTAAACAAGTGAGTCAAATTCTTTTCCCCAGCTTCTAACTACCAAGATATAAAAATATGTCTGATTGAACAATCAAATAAGGAGTAAGGTATTTGTAGAATAACCATAAAATATCTCCAAACCGGTTCAATGATTGAACACTTAAGGAAAATATGCCTCTCAGAAGCTGAATTCTGCGTACAAAACGGGCAGATGGAAGGGAAAATATAAATTTGAAATCTGGAGAGATATTCTGGGATAGGAATAATTTTGTGAATGAGGTTCCATTGGAATAACTTAATTGATAAATGTTGTCTATTGTTCCAAATATGTTTGGAAGTGAAAGTTGGAAGGTCTGAGGCCTCAGGTATCCGAATAAGCTTCCCTGAAATGTCTGAAGTGGTCAGATCAGTTCCTAAATTGTTAGCAGAGCAAAGTCTTCTCCAATGGGGGGAATCATACATCTTAGGAATCATATTAGAGTTGGGGTACTTCGAATGTATAATCTGCAATCCAGAATATAAAGAAGACATACATTTCATTGACCCCTTTCTCTATGAACTGCAAATTATACTTGTACTTTAATCATAAAAATCAAGAAAGTAGTCCAGATTCACAGCATAATCCATAAGTCCATAACGAAGATCAAAAGTTGCAGCACACCAGAGATAGATTTGCGAACTCACTGGGGTCTCACACAGCTCAAAATACCACGTGAAACTGGGGGGGAGGGGGGGGGGGATGAACTCGCCGGAAGAATCTCCCAACGGCAGGGCTCCAGCTCATCGGAAACGGGGTAGTAACCGGATATCGTTACCTTGTCGGCAGAAGAGGAGACGGAACCGAACTAAAAAATAGTAACCTCCGACAGAGATAGGGGTTTAGAAACTTCCACGGCTCCGTTCGTGCCGGGTGCCTCCTGCTTTTGGTAAGATAAGACGAAGAAAATTGAATTCGAATCGGGGTTCGTTTTCGAGGGAGAATCCCCATGGTTGTTGCCCTCCACAGCTTGTTTACAAATTGAAAGCACCAAAGCCCTTTCTCTTCGTCCGCACCTAGTTAATGTTGGCGTCGGTTTCATCGTTGGGCTTTTCTGTGGAACTTCCGGAATCGGGAAATAACAGAGGTGTGACGGTAAATTACATCGTACAGCCGGCTGTACCGTGCGCACGGTACAGCCGGACTTTTTGTTCTCTGCGCAGCACAGGTCGTCGTCTCCAGCAGGCTTCCCTCGCACCATCTCCATCTCTTCTTCGTCCTCGAGAGGCTTCGGGCATTGTATGGTCATCGTTCCCAGCTCGCGCGGTTCGTGGCTTCCTCGCCACAGGGATTCGCTGAGCTCGCCTCTTGGCCGGATCTGTGATGATGGAGCTCTCAACTGATGTCTATGGTGGATTTCGCGATTGACGGGGATGAAAGGGCATCTCAACCCTAGATTTGGCTCCTGTTTCTCCTTTTCTTCGTTTTCTGATGGAGTATAATCGTAGTCTTACTGATGAGTATACACAAATAAAAAGTTGAGTATAGTGGAGATTTTAATGAGTTTTTTTAAATTGTCCGATACTCATTTCGTAATTCGTGTATGCTCATTTCGTATTGGTGTAAACTCATTTTAAAATGTCATATTCATGCATTTTTCAAAAGTATAATATTACATCAAATTCATATATTAGATTCATATAGATTCAAATTCAATGCCCTAAATCAATGAGCAAACACAAATGAGCTTTTGAATTTTTGATACTCATTTTGTACTCATTAAAAATGAGTTTTATATAAATCTCAGATGAGTATACGCCTCAAAGAAATGAACATACACAATTGAATATTAAACACATTAAAAATGTGTTTTTTTTGTTAAACTTAAATGAGTATAACGTCCAAAATCAATGAGCATACACAAATAAGCTTTTGAATTTTTGGATACCCATTTTGTAAATTATGTATGCTCATTTGGTACTGCTTTATGCCTAATTTAAAATGATGCTCATATCAAATATAACGCCCAAAATTAATGAGCATACACAAATGAAGTTTTAATTTTTTTGATACTCATTTTGTAAATTATATATGCTCATTTGATACTGGTTTATGCTCATTTTAAAATGATGCACATATCAAACATATCATACTACATTAGATTGACATATTGAAATTAATTTTAAACACAATTTAAGAATTTTTTATAAACGAAAATTAATAAAAAGAAACTGAATTAGAAGATATGAAGCAGGGATCACTGGTGCTCATTGTTAGACTCCTAATACTCAGAAGAACAAACTCGATGCTCATCCAACTTGCATCAATGCTCATATAAGAGAATTCATGAAGTTCATCAAATTTACAAAAATGCCACCGGCTGTACGGTGCCAGCCGTACAGCCGGCTGTATGGTATACACGTCCGAGGTGTGACGGAGTTTTTGCGGTTAACAACATTAGATAATTTCACTTCTTTATTAGGTTTTAAAATGTAAATAATAAAACTTAGTTTAGTAAAATGACAGGATGCTAACGTGGATTCCTAGTGCAACGTGATTGGTCGAAATGTAAAGGTACCGGTACATTGTTTATTTTCATAGGCACCATAGAAGAACCCAGTGAAATTTTAGGAGGGAGGAGAAATTTTGGGAATTAGTTAGGAGGGAGCGGAAATATTTCGACAATCGGTTCCAATTTTTTTAATACTTTTAATTAATTATACATTTTCTAATATATGTCAAGTTGGAATTGATCTGATTTGATTTAAACATTTTTAATCTGATCTAATTTTGATCTTTCTAATGTGATCTAAAGATGTTTTTACATGGATTGTAACTTGTTGGTCTTCTTCTTCTTCTTCTGTGAATCCATTATCATCGTTATAATTTAAATTTATTCTATCTGGTTTTCAATCATATGATTACTTTTGAATTATTTTTTCCTTAAACTGATCTCGTGTCCTTATCAATATATTCTTTATCATTTTAATCATTTTAAAAAAAAATATAGAATACTTTCATAACTTATTATGTGTCCTTTGTTTTCTCGTTATAACACTCGACTTTGCACATTTGCCAATAACATATTTTTGACTGTAAACATATCTTTTTCGTAATTAGCAAAAAGAAAATAAAAATAGATTTTGAAATTTGTAATGAGACAAATTGAATAATATTTTTTTTAAAATAAACATTTTCTTGGATTAATAACAAAATGTACTCAAAGTAGAGTATGTGAATAGTGTAAAATTTAACATGTTGCAACTAAAAAATGGAGTATTGTATTTAATTATGAACACAGCTGAAATATTTGGAATGCACAAAAATGAAAATTGAAAGGAACAAGCACTAATCAGATGATCGGGATTGGAACTGAAAGAGAAATGGTGTATTCGGGTGATAGGAATTAGGAAATACAGAGTAAAATGTAAGACATGATTGACATTTAAAAAAAGGTAAAAATATCAAAAGATAAATGTACCGTGTTCCTATTATATGCAAATGCATGTGGTGGTTCCTCCTTAAGTACATGCTCCGTATATCACTACAATTATTTTAAAATAGAGAGGACAACCATCCCTTTCAAATTCTATTATTGTTTAGGAAGGAATGAGATTCCTATCTAATATTAACATTATATTATTTAATTTATATTTTGGTAGATAGGAAAGTAAGTTCCTTTCAAATGAGTAAAATTCCTACCTAAAGAGTCCTTGAGTCAATGGCATCAAATTCCTATCAAAATTCCTTTGTGAATTACATAGGAATAAAATTTCATATCCAGTTCCTCTCTAATGGGAGCTTTTCTAGTAATACTCCCGCTTTGATTCCCAGAGTTGAAATCACTTATTATGGCCTGTTGACTTATCTTGAGTATGCCCCATTGCTTCTGTGCGCTGCTCCTTATTATTGCCTTGCTTATACCCGTGAGCTATTGTTGTCTTGGCCACACCCGTGAGTGTCCTGTTGTTATGCCCGTGACTTCTCAATAGGCTGGCAGCCTATTATAAAGTCAACACTCCCTTGCCTTTGTGAGATAAGCCTGCGAGAACTCAGCAGAGTCTTCCTTCTTCCTTTCCTTGTGTGAGAGTTCCTTTGTGGAGTGAAGAAGAGTGAGTAAACATGGGAGATGTTGTGGCCTAGCCCTAGAGTGGTGTGTGTGAGTTTAGTATAGAAGGTTGGAGACCTGAGCCGGAGACGGAAACGATCCTTACAGTGGTATCAGAGCGAGGTTCGCCGTCTGCCGCCGTCCGCCGCCGTCCGCCGATTCGAGGTCCTGGAGGTCACAGGTCGTCCTCTGAAGCTTCGCTTGGTGCTGTTGCTTCCCGTCCGTCTCAAATCTGCCTATCTTCGATTCTGGAGGTCACAGACTTGATTCGTCCACTTGAAAGACTGCTCGCCGGAAATCGTTGCTGAAATCGCTCTCGCCGGTAGTGGGAGCCCTGCCATCGCCGCCTGGAAGCTCCGCCGTCCGCCATCTGTTCTCCGGGAAACTCGCCGCTCGTCGTCGGAGGTTGCTGGTGGCTGGACCAGTCATTGAGCCGTTGGGTGACCAAATTCGTCCTTCACTCTTCATTCGCGCAGGGGGAAGGACGGAGAAGTACTTCGTTATATTTTTTTTGGAGCCGCTGGTCGCTGAGGATAGAGACGAAGAGCCTGGGCCCCTGTGCTTGTGTAGCCTGGACGCTGGTCTGTACGCAGGAAGACTGGAGCAGGCCTATTGGGCCAACTTGAACTGCTGGAAAGTTGTGCTGACCTTGGCCTGATGGACTGCTTGGACCTGGGGCTGCTGACGATGGGCTGGAGCTGGGCTGCTGCTGATGGGCTGGAGCTGGACTGCTGACCTGCTAGACACTGGACTGCCAGTCAACCGCCGCCGGTCAACGCCGGTCAACTCCGGTCAACGCCGGTCAACGGCAGTCAACCCTTTAGAAAAATCCCATTTTTTATTTTTTATTTTTTAAAATTGGGCAGGTAAGGTCGAAACGCTCCCCTAGGGTTTCGCGAAGGTAAGTTTCCGACAAACTTCCTATTTATTGTATTTCGAATTCAAATTTAATTTAATTTATTCCCCCTCCCCGCGGGCCGCCGGTTGATTTAATCCCAGCCGCCAACCCCCCAGGTACGTTCTAAACTTTCTCCTTTGTGGTAGACTGTTTTAGTTGATTAATTGAATTGCTAAGTGTTATTTAATTCAATTTATTATGCGTAGGGGTGGTTTATTGGGTGGTAGGGGTAGAATTAATTAATTTTAATTGCTGCCCGGAATTGTTTAATTGCCAAAATGTCCTTATTTGCTATGTGTTGCATGTTGCCCGGGGTTATTAAAGTGAATACTTTATAGCCCGGGTTGGAGTATTTTCTGTCATTTCTGTCTGTTTAGCTTTGTGTTCCTTTTGTGGTTGATACCATGGCTGCGAACCAGGATATGGTATGCTTCCATTTAATGGAAAAACAGATTTTGATATTTGGAAACAGAAAATTAAGTGTGTTTTAATACAACAAAAAGTTTTCAAAGCTGTCACTGGTATTTTCCTTGAATCAGAAGATAAGGCTAAACAAACTGAAATGAACGAAACTGCTTGTTCTACTATTTACTTGAATCTGTCTGATTCTGTGCTTAGGAAAGTGGGTATTCTTGAGTCCGCTAAGGAGTTATGGGAGAAATTGG